TGGGACGTACTGGGAAATATACGTCACAGCCACAGTGAAGGGGTTAAAAAAATTCCTTAGATTGCACCACATTATATCATCTTTAGACCACGTTCTTTAAACTTTCATAGCGTGAGAGGGTAGATGTCGCCCTCCAATGCCTGTTTGGTGGCTTCATGCTGTCTGGCAGTGTCACTTTTGCCGTATTAATATGCATTTGCTGCGTAGGAGTACACTCAATCACTACTTCTGTTGTGTTTTAATTGTTTGTGTTTAATCGCTCTTCTTACACGATAAAAGATTTAGTGCAGCGACATTAAACAACCACATTACAGATGTAAAAAATCGGTTAACTTGCTCGCGATAAGAAACACGCGCTCACGTACAGTTCGCGTGGGCTTAAGGGCGCGAGAACGCAATGATTTCATTGCCTCAAGATGTAAAGGTGCGCAGTCAAGTAGTCGGGTAGATTAATGTGATAATCCTGAGCTTAAGCTTGGTGTTTTGCTTGGTGTGATAATCTTAGGTTTAGTTTAATGTAATAATCCCGGGTTTCAATTGATGTGATAATCACTAGTTTAGCTTGGTATTATAATTCCAGGTTTGAGTCGATGTGATAATCCCGGGTTTAAGTTAATGTAACAATCCTGGATTTAATTTGGTGTGATAATTCTGAGTTTCGGTTAGCATATGTATATAGTAGGGCCTGTGCTCTGCCCACCACGGGTATCGAAACCCGGATTCTAACGTTGTGAGTCCGCAGACATACCGCTGTGCCACTGGGGGGGGGGGGCTGGTTTGGACACAATTATGAATCGTATCATATGTTTATCAGTTGCCCTATAGAGATTATAAGTTTTAAAAAAGTGGACAAAATAGAACATCTTGGCTGTATTAATTTAGAGCTATTAAATATGGAACGTTGTTTGAGTCTTATGGGCACATTAAAAATTTACCATATTAGGTTAGGGAAAAAAATGTTGAATAAAATAATATCGATATATTTGATTTTTTGCAAGTCTTCATACTCTCGACTCTAGAGCACTATCAAGTATTTGCACACGTCACAGAATTTGTTAGATAAGCTTCCGAACAAGAACTGTAAATTTCGAATTAAACATCGGCCATAAACATGGGCATCGCCAGGGATTTTTTTTTAGGGGCGTTCATTTTTATTCATAGTGTATCTTTCTAATCCGAGTACGAGTGTACGTATGTACACGTATACTTTTACGTAACACTGCACGTGCTATGACGACAACTCGAACATGAGCAGGCTATGTTGAAATATGCTACGTAATTCAAGTTTACGTGCACGACACAATTATACGGGTTTAAATCTCTTTTTAATAACTATCTTGCACTATGGTATCTAACTTAAAGGCAGACAAGTGAATCCTTCAGTTTAAACACCATATCGAACTGATTGGGAATAGCGGGTGTGAACAAACACCCACAGCTTCTGAAGTCCCCACAGCGTAAAGGATAATATATAAAAGACTTGTCCTGACCAATAACGTGATTTTACAGTATGACGTTTGGCTGGTCAGTACGTTGTTGAACGGTATGGTACTTGTCCATACACATTGTACTGAGTTACGGGACCGCTGGTCGTTCAGTACGTTTGAATTAGTTATGGATAATGGTTTCGTTGGTAACCTGCAAGTAGGCGGTCTGTGGTCCAAAAAGGGGGTTCGTTTCCCCCATACACGCACACGTACACCTGGCGACACCCCTGGTAAAACATGTTTACGAATGCTCCCTATTCGGATGTTTTGGACCAAAATGGGGACACTCAGAACATCAACATTTGTGAATTTGTTTTAAATCACAACAACAAGAACAAAAATCTAGAAATCACGTGGTTCTGGAACATGGTAGTTTTGAACATGAAAAATTATTTATATTTCTCTAAAATAAACTTGGGCCGTTTGTATAGCAGGAAGTGGTGTTTTACAGCCCAATATGTCTCGGAAATAAACTTGGGCCGTTTGTATAGCAGGAAGTGGTGTTTTATAGCCCAATAAGTCTCGGAAATAAACTTGGGCCGTTTGTATAGCAGGAAGTGGTGTTTTACAGCCCAATAAGTCTCGGAAATAAATTTGGGCCGTTTGTATAGCAGGAAGTGGTGTCTTACAGCCCAATAAGTCCTCTTTTTACAATGAAAGCTGTGTCTTTTCCCTGATAACTGAGTCCCTAATTCCTCGAACTTGGGTCAAGTTTTGACACTTGATGTGATTCTAGGTTTAGAGTCCAGATTTTAGGGTGACCATATCAGTTTTCGGTCACAAAGAAATGAATTAAGTTTTTATTTCCATGTTGTTAATTTTTATATTAAACTTAGGTTTGCTTATTCTTAGAGCAGAGCCACATTGGTCTATCTGCTGTGTCCACAGTGTGGAATCGAACGCTGGCTCATCGGAGGACATTATATTAGAGAATTTTTGTTTGTTAATTTTCTTTTAATCTTTTTGCGTTACTTATAATGACAAATGATCCATAAACGAGTATTCTTTAGTGAGGCTGGAAGTGACCCGTTCGGAGGTAGCGCAGCTGCCAGACTTAACCTAGTGGAGAGTTTCGAAACCAACGCTGAGGTCATTTTTAAAACTGATTTTTTGTTTGTTTGTTTTACTGCAACGTGTGAAGTAGAAGTGCGTATCAGCCAAGTTCCACTTCAGCAGATGCTAATTATGTAAACACCACCAGGTGTGGCTAAATAAACAGTGTGCTAATAATAGCGCTATACTTGGATTTGTATATACGTCAACTCATTCGCTTTTAATTTAAGTTACACTGTAGAATTAATTAGAGGAGCTTGTTCAAATCGCTTCCAGAGACAAGTGTGATTTGTGCTTATATCAAGTATTGCACAATTCTTGTGACTTCCAGTAAGTTTCGTTGATACTAAGCTGCGTTGTGTACCACTTTCAGGAAATGTATTATTGGTTAAAACATGTTGCGAAGCTGCTGCTGTTGTTGTTGTTGTTGTTTGAAGCTAAGCACAAAGTAACACAATGAGCCGTCTGTGCTCTGCCCACCACGGAATCAAAACCCGGTTTCTAGCGTTGTAAGTCCGCAGACATACCGCTGTGCCAATGGAGGGATTTTTTGTTTATACATTTACTTACCGGTATCTGTCAGTTTGTGTAACCTGTATCAGATTTCTGACAGTTTCTTCGAAAGCCATACAGCTGTCAACTAGCTACAAATTTTTCCCTTACTTTCAAGTTCTACTATTTCCCACCGGGGGGCCGTTGCAAAGCAAAGCTATTTCTTATATTTATTATTGCGTTCTTTGAGAGACTGTATTGGATGTTCTGTACGTCTATATGACGTGAACTTAGTTTGTGAACTTAGCTAAGTTTTCCTCCACTTTTATACAGGTATTGAAAGGATGTTCCACGTGTGTTTTTCGAGATTGGTAAATAAAAGGTTCTAAAAATATCAACTTCTCGGAAAAGTCAAGACATTCAAAGATTTAGTTACAGGTTGAAATTAAGCCACTTGTGTAACAGTTTGTTATTGTGTTATTCAAGTTACTTTCTAAACTCGAAATTTAGTTTCCCGAATAAAAATAATGTCGATTGTGAAGATCTGTTAATGTTCTGTAAAATACGGCAAACTAGATCACTGGTCATAATTCAAGAGCATCATATCCAAAAAGTGTTATGATTTGAAAATAAAGATCAGAGACAAAGTGCGAAATTTGAGTCCTGCCTACGTGTGTCTATATATGAAAAGTGTGGACTTAATGGGCTGGAAATGTCTGGAAAATAAAACGCTAGCATATTGCAGCCATAAATTATCTTGCAAACTGTCTACGAAGATCTTTCTAGTCTTACTGTTGTCAAGTGATAAAAGTTATTACGTTTCACGTGGGGTGGCGTGATGTGTCCTTTGCCTCTTTTAATCTTTAATTTGTAATACGGTAAATTGTTACCATGTTGCAGGTATTATAGGCACGAAACAAGATAATAAAACTACACTATATAATGATGCAGATTATAAGCATAATTAACTAACCTCGAAATATAATTTAACCTAATTATGATATTATATATAGTACATACCAGCGTAAGTACCCATAAGTAAGTAAGTATTGTGTTGGTATACTCTAGATGACTATGTCAGTGTGTGTATTCTGAACCCATTTTAGCATAAAAGTATAGCCTATATACCTTTCTTGCTAAGCAAAGTGACACAAAAGCCATTATTGGAACGCGTTGTTACTAAAGCGCACTGGTTTTCTATATATCAGAAGTTGTTATATAAGGAACCATTTCTTTCAATGTGGTTTTTCGCTAGCTTGCCTCATTAAAAAGATGCGCATCCGCGCACACACGTGGATAAGATAAGTAATAGCCGGGTGCACACCCTCAGGGTCCACTTAGTATGGGTGCTAAATTTAAAGTTTCTAGCTTTTTTCCTCTTGGAGCTATTGCGGTCACCTATTCTTTTCTATGCGGTTTTCCGCTAACTTGCCCCATAAAAAGATGCGCACGTGCATGTGCGTACAAACGTGGCTAAGTAATAACACCCAGATGCACACCCTCAGGGTCCACTTAGTATGTGTGCAAATTTTCAGGTTTCTAAATTCTTTCCTCTTGGGGCTATGGCGGTCACACACACACACACAGGCACGCTTTTTTATTATTATAGATATTCATGACGTTACAAAAACACGTAGGTTCAAGAAATCAATTTAAAACGAAAATATGATCTACATAAATAAAAATCAATCATAATTAGCTTAGTTTTAGATAAATTTAGCCCATTTAAACCTAAATATATAAATAATATTGTTGAGTGGGTAATACAGAATATCGCTACTCCCTCTTGTGAATGATCTTCAAGAATAACATGTGTAATTGACTGCTATTGTTTAGTGAAGCATTCCGTTCATGCTTGTTACAAAATTCGTGTACAAAAAATACTATATTATACTCATTATTTAAATACCGGTTCTTCATTTGTGGTGTACGTTTAAATTCAACTTTCTTTGTGTCTTTCCATTCTAGGTCCAGCGACGCTGTGATGATGGCCAACGTACAAAACGGTCAGCTCCTCCAACTTCGGTCCCTCCCATTCAAGACTCGGTCAGCACCGTGGCCGCCGCCAGAAATTTTAACCCAATGCTTTTCCAACAGCTACAAACCTTCGTTCAAAACCTTGCAGATTTCAAAGGTTACTATGGCAACTTGGCTGACTCCGTGTGCAATAACGGCTCTTGGGCCTCCCGAAGTGATGTTCGTTGTTGGAACGGCAATGAGACTGGGGAGTAAGAACACAATTAGTATTGTGACATTTTTTTTTTATTCACCTTGAAAGAGATGCTACATATTATAACATATAAGTCATATATATTAAAGCGTATAACTATAACGACAGTTAATTCATGTGTTTAAACAAAACAAAAGTTGGCATTATTGAGTTTCATAGTATCATGCTGTTGTTGTTTGGTTGGGTTGGTTGGTTGATTTTTGAATTTAGAGCAAAGCTACACGAGGGCTATCTGCGCTAGCCATCCTTAATTCAGCATTGAAAGACTAGAGGGAAAGCAGTTAGTCATCATCACCCACCGCCAACTCTTGGGCTACTCTTTTACCCAAGAATAGTGGGATTGACCGTCACATTGTAACGCCCCCACGGCTGAAAGGGCGAGCATGTTTAGTGGCTGTTGTTGTAGTTTTCTTAGTGCAAAGCTACTCAAGACACTATCTGCTCTCTGTTCACCTGTCAAGGTTCGAACGAAGACTTTTATTATTATTCTCATTATTATTTACACGAAATACCAGTTATCACTGGTCAGTTACCAAAAGCTGAAAACAACGTATACTGAGATTGTCCGTCACATAATAACATCTGCTCCCCCCCCCCCAATGGCACAGCGATAAGTTTGTGTACTTATACGTTAAAAACCAGGTTTCTATACTCGTGATGAGCACAACAAAGATAGCTTTGTGCTTAATTACGAACAAGCAAGCCATAACGCCCCCACGGCTTAAAGGACGAGCACGTTCAGTAATGGGTTTCGATCCCGCCCCTAAGTGCAGATTTCGAATCAAGCACCCTACCCACCCTGCCCAAAAACTGAAAATAAGTTAGCTCTTAACCAAAATGTTTTGCTTTATTTATTGATTATTTTAAACATCAGATGGATAGTTTACTATTTTTAACTTGTAATGATTCAATTTTCAAAACAAAATGCTTGTCTAATTAGCGAATAAAATTGGAAACTAAGCACACATGTACAAAAAGAGGAAAAATACAAAATTTGAAACCGTGGAATAATCTTGGAATCATCTGAGTTTATAAGTTTTTTAATATACTTATCTTTGGTCCAGTTCAAGAAACCAGTTTTTGTAATCTCTATGGTCATTCATCAGTTTGGTTTGGTTTGAATTTTGCGCAAAGCTTCACGAGAGTTACCTGCGCTAGCCGTCCCTAATTTAGTAGATGTAAGGCAGCTAGTCAACACCACCCACCGCCAACGCTTGGGCTATTCTTTTTTTACCAACGTCATATTATTGCGCTCTCCATGGCTGAAAGGGCGAGCATGTTCGATGACAGGGATTCGAACCCGCGACACCTCAGATTGCGAGTCGAACGCCCTAACCACCAGGTCATACCAGGCTCTATATTAAGCAGTAAATATAGATTTGTTACTTTTACGTCACATGCCAGTCCTCATTCACCAGTTTTAAACACCTTTCTCGCGCTCATAGACGTCCACAATTACTACAGGTTTCATCTCGAAGTGACGTGTGTGTGTGTGGTAGTATCAGGTGAGCTGATGTCCCTACAGATATAGGCTAGATCCGTTAATAACAGTAGATTCGTACAGGATATTTGCTGAGTTATCGGAATCTGCAGACTCAACTAAGTTTTGAAATTGCTTAAGAAATAAACACGTTGAACACTTTTAAGGATAGTGAAATCAATTATTTCAAACACAACAAAGAAATAAGTGTGCGTTACCTGCATAGACAAGTGAACGATTACCTCTACTGGTTTAGTGTCTAGATCTTCAGCTTTTCTTCCCTCCAGTTAAATTTCTACAGAACCAGTCGCGACAAAAATCAAATAAGAAAGACCTATAAAATCGTGTTTCAAACTCGCACAAAAACAACGGTTTCTTTGTCTTGCAACAATGTCATCATTTGACCAATCACTCTCTGTTAACACTCCAATGTCTTCTCCTCAGCCACGCTTTCTCCTCTATCTTTTCACCAGCGTGAGAAGGGACATTTTATCCCAAAAAATGGGGATAGAAGATAGAGACAAAGTCACACTTGAATGCAGAAACTCTAGCATTTCTTGACCAAGCGTTCTTATCCCAAAACCTTCATAGGAGCAAGCTAGTGAAAAAAAAGGTACAAGTTATACTCGGATATCATATGTGCACAAAGGGTGTAGGCGTACAAAGATTTTATTTCGAAGAAAAGTAGGTACACAGAGGTTTAATTATTTGGTCAAATTATTTCAAATAATAATCCCTCCCTAGTGGCTCAGCGGTAAGTCTGAGGGCTTATAACGTTAAAAATCGAGTTTCGATATCTATGGTGGGCAGAGCACAGATAGCCCATTGTGAAGCTTTCTGCTTAACGACAAACAAATAAATAATAGTTGAGGAGAACAGATTAGAAATAACACAAATAACAAAGATGGTAGAAACTATTGCTGTACAGTATCACACCAAAGTTTTAGTTAATATTTGTAAAGAACAGATTGTCTGAGATTGTCGAAATATCTGATTTGAGCTTTCTGGAGGGATTAGCCAATCAAGAGCTTTCTCAACGCTTCCGTGGGGGCGTTATAAGCGACTGTCAATCCTACTATTCGTTGGTAAAAGAGTAGCCTAAGAGTTGGCAGTGGGTGGTGATGATTAGCTGCCTTCCCTCTAGTCTATCACTGCTAAGTTAGGGACGGCTAACGTAAATATTCTTTGCGCGAAATTCAAAACAAATAAACTTACTAAACACCTGGCTTCGTTTGTTTTGTGCTACTCCCAAGATCCACAGTAATCGTTGCTAGGCTTAGGTGATTTCTCAACGATATTTGAACCTAAGCCTAATTAATACTAGTTGCCGCAACGTATCCAAAAAGCTTGCTGCATAATAACGTTTTTAAACGTGGTTAATTCATGTGTAAACTGGTTAAGTTCGAAACAAAATATTTTTAAACATTTTTTTTTCTATGCGACGAGAGCATTCATTATCGATCTTCGTTAAGATCTAAAATTGATTAAATCCCAGCATCGTAGTTACTGACGGCACGTGGCACATTAAACGCCGATGGTTAGTATATTCTCGAAGCAGTGGAGTCATAAAAAGTTCGATTACCTTAAAAATATGCATTACTTTTTTTACATGTTAATGATAAGTATGGTCTTCTAGCTATATTTCTTAGATTGGTTAGCCATTACGTTAAAACATGTAGTTATATAAACACTGGGAAAAAGATACAAACACGGACTTTCTCTTTTGTGTGTGTATGTGTGTGCCCCAAGAATAAAACAACGAAAAAATATAAAATTTCTGGTGTTGTCATAACGTTTTAAATAGTTTGTTTGTTTGTATTAGAGCAAAGTCACATTGGGCTGTCTGCTATGTCCAACGCCAGGAATCAAATCCCGGATTTTAACGGTTGGTTTGAATTTCGCGCAAAGCTACACGAGGGCTATCTGTGCTAGCCGTCCCTAATTTAGCAGTGTAAGACTAGAGGGAAGGCAGCTAGTCACCACCACCCACCGCCAACTCTTGGGCTAATCTTTTACCAACGAATAGTGTGATTGACCGTCACATTATAACGCCCCCACGGCTGAAATGGCGAGCGTGTTTGGTGTGACGGGGATTCGAACCCGCGACCCTCAGATTGGGAATCGAGCACCCTAACCACCTGGCCATGCCGAGCCGATTTTAACGGTGCAAGTCCGTGAACGTACCACTGTCCCATCTGGGGACTTTTTTTTTGGAATAGTATACTGAGTATTTCCGATTTAGGAATTATGCAAACTTTTCTCAGTGCTATGTTCATCTATTCATGAGCCATAAGTCAAAGAAACAAGACGTTTATCACATTTTTTCCCCGTAAAGGTACAGAAAGACTATAGCAGGTAGTGGCACAGGTGCACAGAAATATAATCCAGAAGTAACCATTGACACAAAACAGGACCTGATGGTGACTTACCTAGTGAACAAGCTGGTGCACATGAGAAGGGTAAGAATGTTTTACATTTAGGCATTGAAGAAGAAGACATGTTTTTCTGCGATTTTATATCTTATATTGTTGAGTTTCATGGTTTAGAAAATAAATTAGTAACTATATTTTATCATAGAGTGGATACACACACTAAAACATCAACAATGACAGAGAGTTTTACTATAAAAATGATTGTCACTCTTATTTCTTTCTCTACCCAACAACCCAACGCAAGAAACCCTCGCTAAAAAGTGACCAACCCACTAAATTGTTCATCTTTCTTCTTGTTTCAGTCGAGATAACTCTACAATTACTTTATCACTAACGTCAGTTTAAACCTAAATCCACTCTATATGTTTCTAGGCAGTGCAAGATGTCACCGCTTAGTCGCAATAACTCGTAGTAATTAAAAAAATCAGTGATTTTAGTGTAAATAATGTTGTCATTACAGAAATCTGGTGTTCCTTTAAAAAGCTAAAATACAGGGTGAAACAGGAATTACCATCCAACAATAGATGAACATTAGATGACTGTAACATGTAGAATACTCAATGCTTTGTACACTATACAATCGATGTCTTTAGGGAATCAACCCCTATATTATGTACCAAATGAAGAAGTAAAAAAATCAATTCACTAACTTTCAGTCAGGGGGGGGGGCGTCACAAAACAAGTACTAAAAACATTTTATAAATGTAAAATGGTGTAGGGATGGCAGTGGTAAAAATAATACAAACAAGAATATAGGGATGATACAGTTATACATACATCATTACTACATGACTTTCAATATTAAAACTTAATGTTACTGTAAAATACATACTTAACTTTAATATTACTACAGTTGGAAGTTATATATTCCTGACTGTCAGTATGCAGTTTTGTTTATCATAATATCATGGTCATGTCAGGGTAGGCATCAATGTAGTGTAACTAAGAGCCTAGGACTTACGTACAACTTGAGAAAAAATGTCTTGATTATTACAGGCTATTACAAACTCTCGCGAAGAGGTCGGTCGAATTAACCGACTTCGCAACCATTTTGCATTTGTGCATTTTACAGTGCAACATTAAATTTTAATATTGAAGTAATGTAGATATGATCTATGTATAGCTGTATCATACCTATTTTCTTGTTTGCATTATTTTTGACACTGCCATCCCTACATCATTTTACACTTATAAAATGTTTTTTATTACTTGTAATGTAATATCACACATATTTCTTAATGTTGGGCATGTTGGATATATCGTTGTTTTATGGTGTCGAAATTGAGATTGCATCAATGTCATTATAGTATAACACCACTCATATTACATGTTTTTAATGGATACGTTGTTAATATGCACCAACAGAAATATTTCTGTGGATGTTGAAGAGTATTGCTTTAATCAAAATAATAACATTTAAAAAAATATTTATATATATAAATCCATATGTTTAAATACAAATTTCCACCAGTGTTTCTTAATCCTGTTTTATAATAACCAGTAGTAAAATGTTTGGTGTTAGGCTTCCGCTCTCTGTCACAAACGATATTTATACTAACTGGAATTTCTGTGTCATTCTGAAAACTAAATTATGTACACACTGGATTGTCGTAGAAAACAATTTTGGAGTGGTCAGGCCGTTGCTACAGCTAAACGATGTGTGCAAAGCACGCTGCCAGCATGCGAGGCATGCTGTTTCTAGTTGCTTTGTTTTCAAATTTAATACCATGAGATTGAATCTTGACCCATTTTAAATACAAATATTGCATACACACAACGTAATGTATTGAATTAAAAGAAGCAAGTTTTAATACATAAGATGTAGCTGTACATGCCATAAAAAAAAAGTGGTCAGGCCATGGTCTGACTGGCCTTACCGCTTTCTATAAACACTTTGTGTTTCCAGCAAATACAAAACAGTTAAAAATATGAAACATGGGAATTACAAAACATGAAATCTTAGAAAATGTACTAAGACATGTCATTAAGGATGCTGATATTTATGGAAAAAAACTCATTAAGATGGCCCTGGAGGCCTACATCGGGCCAGATGAACACGAATTGATAGCTATAGATTTAAAAAAATCCTTTATTGAGTTATTTTATATTATTAATACAAAATTAAATTAACTGGAAATGACCTCCCACTTTAGGGCTTAGTTCCCTGTGCTGTGGGAGGTCTCAGTATAACTACATACGAACATAGGTATTTCATACATAAAAAAAAATGATAAACTTAATATAGTTAGGCTTGCCTCTTAAATAAATACTTAACTATGGACACTGTTTAAAGTGTATTGGTAATTAAATAATTATTTATATAAACAATGATTCTTCTTGTACTAAATTATTATAAGATTTTAGATTACATTATTTACTATTCCTATAATTAATTTAATTTAGGCTTAGTTATTTTGTTTTTTTTCTATTGATTGTTATTTACCACAATTATTTATGCACTTATCTCCAATTATTTGTCAGCCTCTTGTTTTCAATTTAAATCAATGAAATACGTTTTTAGTTTGTTTTGGTTTATTAATTGTACGTATTTGTTCCGGAAGTGTATTAAAAACTTTCGCAGCCACAAAATGCCAATAGATCTTTATTCCATTACTATTACAGGTTTCAGTGTATCTATAGTTATCAGATCTAATAGTAATGGAATAACACTGAAACCTGTTGATAACTATAGATAGACCTAATAGTAATGGAATAACACTGAAACCTGTTGATAACTATAGATAGGTATAATAGTAACAGAAAGAGCTGATAGTAACAAAACAATTGTGTAACTCATTGTAACTACAGAAAGAGCCGATAGTAACAGAACAGTTGTATAACCCATTCTAACTAAATAAATAGCTGATAATAACAGAACAATTATATAACCCATTGATAACTAAATAAATAGCCGATAGTAATAGAACAGTTCTGAAACCCATTGTAACTACAGAAAGAGCCGATAGTAACAGAACAGTTATGTAACCCATTGTAACTACAGAAAGAGCCGATAGTAACAGAACAGTTGTGTAACTCATTGTAACTACAGAAAGAGCCGATAGTAACAGAACAGTTGTATAACCCATTCTAACTGTTCTGTTACTATCGGCTCTTTCTGTAGTTACAATGGGTTTCATAACTGTTCTGTTACTATCGGCTCGTTCTGTAGTTACAATGGGTTTCAGAACTGTTCTGTTACTATCTGCTCTTTCTGTAGTTACAATGGGTTACATAACTGTTCTGTTACTATCGGCTCTTTCTGTAGTTATGAAATCCATTGTAACTACAGAAAGAGCCGATAGTAACAGAACATTTATGAAACCCATTGTAACTACAGAAAGAGCAGATAGTAACAGAACAGTTATGAAAACCATTGTAACTACAGAAAGAGCCGATAGTAACAGAACAGTTATGTAACCCATTGTAACTACAGAAAGAGCCGATAGTCGCTTCGTAGATTATCGCTTCGTAGAGAAAGCTAACTTTTCTGTATCTTGATATCATTGTATAACCTTCAGAAAGCTATATTCTATGATGTTCATGTTAATTCCCACTAAAAAAAAATCATTGAATTTAAACAGCTGATACTTTTTTTCTCTCTCTCTCTCTTGTAGTTGTTGACTCTCCAAATAACCAGAACCCCAGTGGCAGAGTCTTTAATAGTTTCGGAAACAGGAAGTGGCGATGAGAACATTAAATGGAAAGATGGTGGCATACAGGACGATGAAGATTATTACTATTTTGAGTCAGGGAGTGGTTATCTTTGGGGTATGTCCGATATAGATTACAATTACTTCATTCTTCCCTCAGGGAGCGGAAACTTGGACTTCTTACAAACCGAGCCACCCCTACTCCCCACCACAGAAGATGCAGTCGGTGGTATGTTTCGACTCGAAAAGAGTTTCACAAAACGATTGTTAGAGGACGCTGGACCACTCACTCTTAACGCTTGGGAGCACGTGACTTTTGTGTGAGCCGAGCAATGTTTCCCAACCTCCTGGCTGTTCGAAACTAACTTTTAATTGCGCCCTCTATTGGCTTTGTGTGGCGATACGATGCAAATTAAACTTCTGTGTTATTAAGCACCTTTTTTTTTATCAAGCACCATTTTTTTTTATTTATTAAGCATCATTTTTTGTCAGCTTCACTTTGGGATTAATAAAATAAAAGCGTAACGTGTATTGACAAAATACAATTTTAATTCTTTTTCTTTTAATAATGGCGACTGCAAATAACGCTTTTTTCTTTAATTAACCTTGACCACTAAAATCAGTTATCTTAACCCTTACGGTCAGTGCTTTTAACTTTATTCTCTCAAATTTGCGATCTTTATTGATAACGATTTGTATGTATGTATTATAAAATGGAATTTATATTGGCGAACTTTGATCGTATGCTTGCGACTAATGTTGTTGTTTGTATAACAATGTAATTTGTTACCAGTAGTGAATGTGAAATATTATTCCACGTTTAAGTGCATTTATCTCTGTATGAGAAACCTAACTAAGTGATCTTTATTAGTTAGGCACGGCATATCATTTACACTTTTATTAACAGCTGAAGTAAAATATAATTAATCAAAATGTATGACAAAGTTTATGGTGAGAAACATACAGCAAATAAATGCTACGGTAAATATTATCTAAAAAAATTCAAAAGCCACAATGGTAACAGTCATTGTTGGTAGTTTTTTCAAGTCTCTTTACTATAAGCTTCAGGCGTTTATTTTTGGTTCTGTTGATTTCCCCGAAAGGGGGCCAAAGGCTGCCTGTAAAGGTCACCTGTTTTAACCACTCGCACCACTATACAGTAGTGTATTGTCTGTCAGTCAGTCAGTAGACACTAGAATGACGTCACCTTAACGTTGCAATTTGTACTGTCGTGACGACAGTAGAACGTGCGCATGACATGAATCACGAGAAGAATTATGCAATCTGTAGACTACAAAACAGCATGACATATGAACTTCAAAAGCAAGAAATAAAAATATTTATTACTCTTAATTTTGGTTTCATTTAATCTTGAAACAGAACATCTACTTTATATATTTATTTTTCTAGCATCATTTATTCACTTAGTACTGTCAAATGTTCTGTGTAAGTTAATATGATGGCACTGCGATCACTGGTAGGTGAAGCACACATGAGTATTAGGCTTACTTATTTTTTAGTTGTTTTTATTCACTAAAATGTAAATTTCAGTAAATAATATATGGGGTAGGGGCTTCTTTGGTTCGCTACTCCCGCTGCAGCAGACTAGTTTTGCCGAATTCACGGCTCATCGGTGCTGCTTGGAAAAACGAGACAAATAAATCAAGTAGGCCTAATATAGCAGTGGAATATAAGCAGTTCTCTGTTACTCACCTCTAATAACCTAAAGTACTTTAGGTGTTTCGATAACATATTACATTCCGTCTCAATTAATTATCCATTATTGCATTGATTAAACACCGAATTGAGTTTTTTTCGCGATTCTAAAAGAAGTAATTAGTGTAAGTGTAACAGTATTTTGTGGCTCAAACTGAATTACACGTTAATGAAACACTAGCAAAACAATGTTTAATCAATAATCTTTATATTAGAGATCGTATACGTCGCTCTTATTAAATACATTTTGTATCCAACAAGCTGCATTCTATATATTTGGATTGAAATCTTAAGTCCTAAACGCATACTCGTATGAATTGTAACTCTCACATAAAAATTAACATTATACTTAAATAACTAAAATGCTTCGTCTTTCAATGGGATTGTGATTCCTATTAGATAAATGCCTAGAGAAAACAAATTATGAACTTAAAAAACAGTCAAAATTTTAAACTGATATATTGCCAGTATAGTTTGGAGAAAATTCTATGTTTATAATTTTATAACTTTATTTTCTCAGGATCAGCAAGAACAGAATCAGATATTCATTTCGACAAGGAGGTTGAAACCCCGCTCCACATTGAACCACAAGATGGAAAAGGCAATGTGGCTAATGGAACACAGAATAACTTCATTTTATTAGTCAGTGTACTAATAATAATTATTATGGATTTCGTTGCGTGAGGTCATAAACTTGGCAATCGTATCAAAGAAAGAGAATACAACTGTGGGAATGCTTCCGATGTGGCGCTTCCTTGTTAATTAAATATATTTACCCTCGTTTTAGGACTATTTTACTTCAAACTATCGTTGATTGCACTTTTGATGTGCAAAAAACAAACAAAAAAAACAATCTAATGAACGTTCCAGTAAATTCGTTGTCATTGCTGTGTTCTCCTATCTGATCAAATATATAACGGAAGTTCATGGAAAAAGTCTGTGTGATATGCTCATCTTTAATATACTTTTCTAAACTGTAACAAATATTTCGCTCAGAATATAAAGCTACTGAAAGCGACAATTAAAGAGAGACATGTATTGTAACTTATAGTATAGAGTCTTTTTTTTATCTGACCAATCACTGTAGAGTGGTTTGTTTACTGACCAATAGGTACAGAGATGTTTGTTTATTGGCCAATCGTTGTAGAGGAAAGTTTTTTACTGACCAATCGAGATAGAGAGGTTTACTTATTGGCCAATCGGTTGTAAAAAAAGGGGGGGGGGGTTACTGGCCAATCAGGATAGAGAGGTTTGTTTACCAACTCAATCATTATTAGTGCTCACGAGACACAAATATATGGAAAAAGGGTTAGTATGGAAACAGAATAGTTTTATTTTATTTTCTTTATGTGATGGTAAAACTAACAAGAACAGAAATAAATATTTTCGTTATATAATATTTCGTTTAATCGTGGCAGAATCCGTGACTTATTTGTACATTGCAAGGCCTAAAATGAGTAAAACAGTTGCAGCTCACTCTAAATCCTGTTTACAAAAAATATTATATGTTTTAAAAATACTTTAGAATTGATATTGAATCTTATCAATAACTATAATAACACAAACAAGCCCCCCCAGTGGCACAGCGGCATGTCGTGTAGACTTACAACGCTAGAAACCGGGCTTCGATACCCATGGTGGGCAGAGCACAGATAACCCTTTGTGTAGCTTTATGCTTAACTTCAAACAAACAAACATAAATAAAATAGAAACTTTATAAAATAAATGACCAACTAATAAAAAACTGAAAGATGACCAGCATCAAATGACCAGTTTCTGTGACCTGGGTCCATGTGTTGGGTGTTTCCCCTTTCATTTATTTAGTAAAACGCAGCCCAAACTATAGAGCATTTTGCCCCCCCCAGTAGCACAGTGGCATGTCTGCGGACTTATAATGCTAGAATCCGGATTTCGATACCCGCGGTGGGCAGAGCACAGATAGCCCATTGTGTAGCTTTGTGCTTAATACGCAGCCCAAACTATAGAATAAGTTAGAATACGGTTTTTATGACGACAAAATCCTATGCGTATTTGACTGTAAGCTTTGGATTTCCGCACAATTAAAAAAAAATAAATATCGATGACTTAAAGTGCATGTTCATTATTTAACAAGCTTAGGAAGCAAGAAAATGATAAATGTATACACATGTAAAGCATTTGTATTTGACGTTATTCAGTTCATTGCAAGCCGTACTTCATAGGTGGCCCGGCATGGCCAGGTGGTTAGGGCACTCGACTCGCAATCTGAGGGTCGCGAGTTCGAATCCCCGTCCCATCAAACATGCTCGCCCTTTCAGCCGTGGGGGCGTTATAATGTGACGGTCAATCCCACTATTCGTTGGTAAAAGAGTAGCCCAAGAGTTGGCGGTGGGTGGTGATGACTAGCTGCCTTCCCTCTAGTCTTACACTGCTAAATTAGGGACGGCTAGCGCAGATAGCCCTCGTGTAGCTTTGCGCGAATTTCAAAAACAAACAAACTTTATAGGTTGGGCAGGAGTGAAGCGCAAACAACAGAAAGGTAGTATACAAAGATATTTGGTCCTTAAGCATGACAATAGTATATAACAAATGGTGTAAACAGTATTTCTTATTGGTACTTGCATTAGAAGGGTTTTTTGTTGTTGTTTTTTTTTTCGGATTAGTCAAACTTTTGAACAGCAAAAGATAGTTCTGCTGGTTATATTCCGGAAATATATGTTTAAACTTGTATAAAGTACAATGATTTAACCGTGATGTCCCTCTCGGTGGGACAGCACTAAGTTTGCGGATTTACAACGCTAAAATCCGAGGTTCGATACCCCACTATAGACACAGCAAGTAGCCCAATGTGGCTTTGCTCTAAAATAACTTACCAACCAATTAATTGTGATTGGGCAGAAATCGGAAAAACATGTTTTAAGCATTAAGTTTATTTGTTTTGGCTATTTCATCAAATTACTTACGTAAATCTGACTGTTTTCATCAAAACATTATGTTATCATGTAAAGGTTATTTCAACAAGCCCTCTTTCCAGTAACCTTGATTGTTTACGTTTAAACCTTAAATGCGCAATGTTAGAATGATTGTGATTTGGTAACAGCCTCCCGATTTGACCAATGGTAGCATACTTCTGATTGTGATTTGGTAACAGCCTCCCGTTGTGGCCAATGGCAGCAGATTTCGTCTTTCATTTTATAGATGTCGAAGCTTTACGGACATATTTTCACTTCTATTAAGATATGAATCACCAGTTTGTTTCATTGGGTTGACCACTAAGTAGTTGTATTGTTATGTTCCGTCCGAACAATACCGGACACAAAAGGACAAAGGAAATATCTACAGTGAAGACTGTGAACTTTTTCTAAAAAATCATGAGGACGAGAATATGAAACAAATACTCTTAAATTTGAATCTTTCATGATTCTTTGATAAATGTTGAATTTTTTAGTGCTTAAAAACCATATTTATACTGCTCAATCTACTAATTTACTGATAAACATGCCCCCTCCCCCCGGGAGAACAGCGGTAAGACTATGGGCTTAAAACGCTAAATATCGGGTTTCGATACTTGTGGTAAGTAAAGCACAGAAAGTGTTATGTTTAACAACAAAAAATAAACTGACAGACAATATGAAGTCCACAAAGAAACACATCTGGAGATCCGATGTGATCATGTGACATTAATGAATTGTGGCTTCCCTCATTAATTACACATGTGTGGTGGAATTGACAGGGTATTAAAGATGCAATGGCAATGTTGAACTTAAGATATATACATAGTAGTGACAATTGTTATAATTATTGTTTAATAAAAACTGGTTAAAAAAAAGAGAAATGGTCCAGAAAAAAAATAGCGTTGAAAAACAAAAGAGATAAATCATATAAGATAAGGCCTCCTAAAATATAAAACATTTTTTTCAAAACTGGCGTGACAATTGGCATTCGGCGAGATGCTAGCTTGGAGGTACTTTTTATTTAAATTTTACAAACTATACGAGCCAACATTATGATAATTTGATTAGCATTACGGAATATAATAACTGATTAATTAACTTCCAAAACAATTTCATAAAATAGCATGTCCAGGTGGTTAGGGCGCTCGACTCGGAATTTGAGGGTCGTGGGTTCGAATCCCTGTCACACCAAACATGCTCGCCATTTCAGCCGTGGGGGCGTTATAATGCAACGGTCAATCCCACTATTAGTTAGTAAACGAGTAGTCCAAGAGATGGCGGTGGGTGGTGATGACTAGCTGCCTTCCCTCTAGTCTTGTACTGCTAAATTAGGGACGGCTAGCGCAGATAGCCCTCGTGTAGCTTTGCGCGAAATCCATAACAAACAAACAATTTCATAAAATAGCATGTCCAGGTGGTTAGGGCGCTCGACTCGGAATTTGAGGGTCGTGGGTTCGAATCCCTGTCACACCAAACATGCTCGCCCTTTCAGCCGTGGGGGCGTTATAATGTAACGGTCAATCCCACTATTAGTTAGTAAAAGAGTCGTCCAAGAGATGGCGGTGGGTGGTGATGACTAGCTGCCTTCCCTCTAGTCTATCACTGCTAAATTAAGGACGGCTAGCGCAGATAAGCCTCGTGTAGCTTTGAGCGAAATTCAAAACAAACCAATTCATCAAATATGTAATGGGTTTTCCATATATTAAGTTTCTCATGGGCGGTCCTAAGAATGTGTAGCATTGGATATATCGAAGTATTGTTTCATTTGTGTTATGTTTTTGTTAAAAAAAAGAAAGAAAGGGAAGATGTATTTTGTTGTAAATTTTGGAGTTAAGTAAGTCCTAAATAAAAAAAAGGGAGTTACAAGCTGGAGATATAGAATATATTTAGATATAATAACGGTTAGAGACGACTTGAATGGGTAATGAAGAAAAACTTTAATATAAGTTTAACATAACAGCAAATGTACAACGTTTCGACAAGGTTTTGTCATCGTCAGGTACAAGTAATTTACACTGACACTGATTTACACCTTTCCAGTAGCTGATTTACACCTTACCAGTAGCTGATTTTGTGATGCGAAAAATACGACAGCAAGAACTTCCGAAAGAAAATTGCGATACAAGTGTTTCGTTCTATCATGTGTCATGATCATTTGAGTGTGGGTGTAAGTTGGACATTTTCGTAGATTCATTACGAAAACTTGAGTATTTTTTTTTCAAGGAAATGATGTCATGGTAGAACGACAGCTCACGAGGTGAAAACCGGTTTTATCTGGTTTTGTTTCCTGTTTGTTTGTTCTTTTTTAGTAAACGGATTGATTTAATTCACGTATAATGCCTGCCTGTATTATTATAAATATCCATATTGAATTAAACACGGTCATGTATTTAGTTAGTGAAAATTGCTTCGTATTTCATGCTAACGAGTATTCCCAAAAATCATACTGTTGTGAAATTTAGTTTCATTTTATAATACAAGAACCCCTAGGGGAGTCGCCAGCGGAGGGCATGCCCACATTCTAGGTCAGAGCAAACGATGGGTCCCCCTTCAATTTTTGTAAACGCCTATTTTTTTATCGAAAGAAATAAGAAATATTGATGAGAGAGCCCCATTGAGAATTCACTCGTGAAAAATGAGAGGTTTCTCAGAAAATATTGAGGCCTTATTCGATACACGGTATTTTTAATTTTATACGTATGAAAGCGCTTTACAGTAGACACATGGAGAGCTTTTTTTTTGACAAACATATATAGAGAGCTCCTTCTAACAGACATATAGAGGGCCAATAGCTAAAACTTTCAGAGACATCCATAAGATATAATAGTGGGCTCCTTTCTGTTTATTGCCTCCCCTCTTTGAAATAACCTGGCGACGTCCCTAACTCCTAAAAACATTTTCATGATTTTTGCGAGTTGAAAGTAACGACACGTGCGAACCGAATTTTGCACAAGTAGCTGTATTAGTTTTGAGCGCTGTTCTTACCCAACTATTTTTTCTTCTGATTTTTGTTATCGTTAACTTAAGAGAAAGCACGTGATTTTGAACATAATGGTATACCTTTCATTGTGGGCCCGGCATGGCCAGGTGGTTAGGGCGCTCGACTCGCAA